CACTGCAATTTCAAAAGAGAAACAGCAAAAACCAACAAAAGGCATCCCAAGTAATTTTCAGGCTGTATAATTTCAAAATCCCTCATTTGAAAGTGCTACAATTTACATGAAGGAGTTGTGTTGACAATTTATAGCCTTTTCAAATTAAAGCCCATTAGCAATATCACGGCTGAAAATAAAAATCCAAGCCATAAAAAGGACCTCACTTGCACAGCTTCTCAACTTCCTTCCAAAACAAGATAAACAGATGTGTGTGTGTGTGCGTGTGTGTGTGTGTTTAGGGGGTGAATGAAGACAGATACATGGAAGTAACAAGATTCAGAAGCCAAATAAATAATGGGCTACTTACCGCAACTTTGCTCCCAGTTATCTGCATGCAGCGATCAGCGGAGAAGGTTAATGTGCAAAAAGACACAAACAGCACAATCATTAGTAGGCCAGACAATGCTCTCCATTACACGTTGAAGCATTAGCGTATCTTGTGTGATATCACAAAAATCCTTCACACAAATATTGCACACACTATACAACGAAAAATTTTAAAGACAACAGGAAAACCTTTAAACTGTGGTCACATGCTGAAGATAATGTCTGTTTTCAGCTTTCCAGTTCTCAAATTCTTAATAAGACAGTGATATGAATGCATGTAAATATATGCATATAAAGGGAGCAACTGTGGCAACAACAGGGAAGCTGATGAATCAGCACGTTTGCAAACAAGGGGATTTATTAAATGATTAACAGGTAAAATATGATTGTCCTTGTGACTGACTGACTGACAGATATTGATTTACAGATTCATTCCCCAAAAGGAACAGCGGCTCGTGTGAGCAAAGATACTGCATAGGGCCTCTCTGGGCTGAAATCAATCTGCTGCCATTAACATTAGGCTTCAGGTGTCAAATTTGTATGGCAGAGCTACCTTGAACCCATGCAGTCAGCACGATTCTTGGAGTTTAACCTTGTTATCTGTCAATAATGGCAGGTAGCAGAAGTGATTTTCATTACTGCAACTGTGGGGCTTGTTTCACAGTAGGAGGGTGTCTGTCAGCAGAGTAAATGTATTCTAATCGGTGGCTGAGCTCTTCTTTCACTGCTACATGTTTCTGAGGAAATGCACTTTGATTGCGGGAAGTTACAGGACTCACTTGGCTCCTTGTTTTTTACCTCCTTTTCGCTACAGTTCTCAAAGAAGGAAGAAAAAAAAAAATCTACCCTCTCATTTCTTTTACTGTCATCCTCAAACTCTCAAGGTCTGTGACCATTTGATGCTTGATTTCCCCTCTCGATCTCTCCACCGAGACTTTATGACAGCCATAAAGTCCGTTTTACACATGCCACCACCTGATCACGCAAATACTGCTTTTTAATCACACTGCATATCCACCGTTTTCTTGCTCTCCAGTGAATGCAGCATGTCCCTGTTTAAGACTGGGGAATGTGTTATCTGAATCCTGCAGACTAGACACCTAGAAATGAGTCACACTGACACAACTCAGGACTTAGATTTTTTTTTTCCTACAGATGTTGATGCCAACAACATTATATGCATATTTTTGAATGCAATTGTACAGCAGCTTGACCAAAACACCAGACATTATCTTTAGTGTGCTCAGACAATAGTCAGGGAGGAGCTTGAGGGGGAACAGCACAGTTTCCACAAGTTTGTATTTTGGATGCAACATCTCTGTTACATTATAGTATAAATAAAAAGGGCACGTCACTGCATACGAGTATATGGATTTTCATCTCAGTGCAAATGTAATCATTACCGGCCTTCTTCATGATGGAAAAACATTTACTAATTGCATAAACATTCGTCGATATCATAATCAAGAGCCTGGATGATCTGAGCAAATGCATGGCCCATTAAGAGAAGAAGGCAGCACATTAATGGTTACACCAATAACATTACTTGAATAAAACTGCATAAACACTGGACAATCCCCCTTACAAGACCCTGCCATCACACCTTTCCTGCATGAGACACAGCACGTTTGAAATTAACCAGGAAATTATTCATTGGTGGTAGTCAAAGTAAATCTCTAAGAAATGAGTAATTGTATTAGTATAAAAATGAATTTTGGCAGGTTTAATTATATTGGCATGCGTTCATATTGAGAAGAAAGAACAAGAAATGAAGTGAGAAAGAAAGGCAACTGTTCATGCAAAGCTGATGGTCAAGGACGTCCACAGACACACTCCTGCAAAAGCAGAGATGAATTCCATTGAAACACAGCTCATATTCAAATGAACAGGGTCAACGTAGAATTCTCCCGTGAAAAGACATTTTGTTGGGGGTAATTTGCTAGACTCCTGCTGAGGCACCCTGGTAGAGTATGGGAGTGTTCTCAATCGTGCCTGGCGGCAAACTAGTAGAGAGGTGGCAATTCATGAGGGAAAGGAGGGGGAGGGGGGAGCTTTGACTTTCGTTTGAAAGACATATTTTACAAGAGTAAACAAAGTAATAATCAGTCTTTTCCCATATTAGCCATCTTTTCTAGGCTGAATGCTATTTAAAAATGCCATAGCCTATGTGGTATGGCAACATGCATGAATGATGAATATGCACACAGGAAAGCTGTAACTTGTGAAGAAAACCTAAAGCACCTCAAGCTATTGAATTCAGGAAATATTGCTTTTTGTGAAATCCTAATGCACATGTTGAACTGAGCAGGTCTGCAGAGACAGACAAGAAAAAGGCCACACTTTACTAGGGGATGTTTCTTGTTCAGCCAATATTTACTGATTTAGACTTCCAAGCATTTTGCCTCTGCATACTTTGCATTTACAGTAGGCTAAGTGAGAAAAACGGTTATCCACGTCGAAATACAGATTTGAGGACTGATATGGTAACGGGAGCTGGAGACATTCTTGAATATCCCACTTGTTTTCAATGGCTATAATAATGGATAAGTGTCAAACAGTATACTTGTCTAAGAGTAATAAATCAGAAAAGTCACTATTTTCTTTAAATGTCCTTTTGGAACTTGTTAAACACAGCTATGCTTTCACACACACAAACACACACACAAACACAAAATAAATGGAAATCAAACAGAAATATGTGAAGACACTCCCCAGGACCAGAACTGCAACCTCATCACGCAGCATACAGCTTTTGTAGAAAACAATCGAGTCACATTAGCAGTGAAGGCACCACAGGATGACAGAGGAACCCAAACATGTCCACAATGCACCACACGCAGACACCACTTGCATTTTCCATGTAACATACAGTCATTTAGTCCTCATTGCATGCATATCAACCCCCACAGGCAACGTTAACCCTTCACTTTTAACACATATAGGCCTCATACATGCATACATATAGAATGATCAAAAACTGGAGTGACTTTCAGAAACAAAACGGTTACTTAAGACTGAGTTAGGTTTCTACATTTTTAAACACATCATACCTCTAAAGTGTTTGCTGACAAACCCTTTTGTGTCTTGATTCCATGCGAAATATTGGCTTCAGTAAGTAATAAGTGACTGAGCGGCTGAAACCCAAATCACGCTATCTAATATAACGTAGAGCAAGGGACTCTATAAGAGAGTTTATACAGACTGAAACGCTTGTGCTTCATTGTACCTTCGATTCCTATAAATACATTTTGACTCTAGGACCTAAAAGGAAGGCAATGTATGACTTTGGTTCAAGACAGTATTCAGTTTATTTTATTAAAAACAAAACAAAATATCTGCTGATGAGTAAACTTTACTTATGTCCAAAAAACTGAAAATAGTTCATTAGGGTTCTAGGATCAGCTTACAAGTAAAATATATTTTTAGACTTCAAAACAAGTTATAATATGTATTTTACTGTATATGCTCTTAGACAGAAAAAGAGCCTGTGCCTGTGTCTCACTGAGTTAACGGAGCAGTTGTGTGTGAAGTGTCTCTCATTGCGAGAGGGATTTGGTAGCCACAGTATGCACTAACATTCAACCATCCTCCTCCTTCAGTCATATTAAATGTGATAGCAGGGTGCTGACAGACGTCACATTTTGTCCCCTGTCCTTTGACTACACGGATTACCTTATTGAATTGAATAAAATATCAGTGCTCACAAAGCATAATGGGCCCTGTGAGGAATTCAATCATCTCGGATAATCATCATTATCAATAATGCCAGTTAATTACCATAACAATGAGGAAGGTAATAAATGATGATGTCAAGGGAGAGCTACCAGGTTCAGGAAACAATGGGGATAGACATCGCTTTTTTTTTTTTTCCTTCTGAAATGATACGAATTTCACCTCACAAAGTCAGCAAAAACTTCAAAGGAGGATACATGAATATGTCATACATTTATGGATTTCCACAAATACTGTTTTTATTGTTTAGTGCGATTAAGAATCAACTCTCTACTAATTTATGCAAACGTAGAACAGGCAACATAATTCTGATTTATGTTATTGCTAATCTCAACACAAAGCAACTGATAGTAAACACTCCTGCAAAGTTGTTCTGCTAAGCATTCAGAGCAAATAAAGCTGTAGGATGAATTGTCACTGGCCTAAAACCATTTATGTTCTGTTACACTTGAGCCAAGAGGTTGACTGAACTTGATCAATTCTTGAAAACCAAATAGTGAGGCAAGACACCGCCACCACTGGACATAATTCACATGCAAGTACACGACTGGACAACCAACTATTTTCATGCAAGCATATGATTGGACAAGCACTGACCATCCACCTAGCATTGAGTGAGTGAGTTACTACAGTTTAAATCTTGGCATAATGGGGTGAACAAATGAAGAAAACAAATCAAAACTGCAATCAAAGATGTGGGTTTCTCAGGCATGAAGAGTGGAGGAAGGCAACAGAAGAGAGAGTGCGCAAGAACGGATGACAAAGCAAGCCATTAAGTAGAGCATCAGGTTATGCTCCGGAGAGTCATGTGGAGTGTCATGATATTTCAACCTACCAAACGACAATTGTACAGTGCACTATCGTTTATAACGATAAAACTGTCTTACACTCTCACTTACAGATTTGGCAGTGGCTGAGATGTACTGGACCACCATCTCGCGTTTGGTGCTCAAGTCCTTCCCACGCAGAGGGGCTTTGCGGTCCTCGTTCAGGTTCATGTCCTCCTGAATACACACAGACAGTGAAATGAAATGTAAGGGAATAGTCAAGACTGGATACTAGTCAAAATTGGGCACACAGTTTTAAGTAGAATGTTGTACAAAAACACTCATAATCTGAATGGAAACTAAATTCGGATCACAAAATGAATCCTTTATTACACCACTTGCAAACAGAACATGAAAGAAAAGGTATCTTGTAAAGCAAAAGTCAGTCCCACATATACACATAGCACATATCTAATCTTAGTATCTAAATAGTGGGACACTTAACCCTAGTAAGTAATTCAAAATATCTGGATTTTAAAACCTCAAACTTTGAACCAGGTTATTTACAGTACAACAGTTTCAGAAGTAAGAAGTAGCACTTTAGACCGGCCAATAATTATTGTTCCATTTCCACTATAACCCTTTATATCAGATCCTGTCCTTCTATGGCTGAATAAATTTCTTTCTATCTCTGCTTCTTTGTTAAAGTCACGGGGTACAGCAGCAGAAAATAAAGGCAGTAATAATTAGTCCTTGAAACGAAAGTAGCAAGGCTGCAGCAATAAAAACTGTACACCCCAACTCCGAACAGGAGAACAAAATCAAACAACACTGCGTCTATTGAGGCCACGCAATCACATCAGATAGGCTGGATAGGCAGTATCTGAGTGTTATTGGGAGTATTATCTTCATGCTACTTTAATTCTGCATCACAAAAGAGGTCTTTCATGTGAGAGACATCAGGGCATAGAGCGAAGGCCGGACAGAGCACTAAAAGCTAGGGAATGACATGATGATTAGAATGGAGGGGGATGTTTATCAGAAGCACTCTCTCACAAAGAGATGGCTAGAATGAACAGAGTGAAAAAACATCCTCCTCAGGGTTTTAGGATGGCGGACCTAAAGTTGTGGAGGCATGCTGCCCTCTGCTGGTAGGCAAAGAAAATCCTGTGTCTTTTGGTTGATCTGATTTGGCAGCGGTCCCCCTCCGTCCGATTCAGCGTAAAATTCAACTAATAAATTAAGCATATCACTGCTCAATAAGAACGTCGCATTATACAGCGGTTTAAATGTCTAACCACGAGTAATCTGATTCAAACTGTTTAGCTTCATTCGTCAGTGAAGCATGGGCAGGAATCCCATCCAGGGGCACTGTGACCTAAATTCCTTCAACTACATTTCCTCTAGTAAATACCCTCTGAGCTAGGGGAAAAAAAAAAAAAAAACATTAACATCTTTTGTAAAACGGGCAAGGGAAGAAAAAAAAATGCAGCGAAAACTTTTACAATTGGCAGGTTTTTTTCACCCAAGGAAACCAGCAGGTTTTTTTAATTAATCTTTGAACCCTACTAATTTATCTGCTTAATTGGCATTCAATAAAGGAGGCAAAAAGTGGCAGGGTGAATATATCGTAGGAGGGGTAGCAGCAGTGGGCCTGCGGGATGCTTGTCAGGGGGCAAACTGAAGGAATGAGCCCTCCATGTTTAGCCTCCAAAATGATTAATTCTCTTTTATTAATTATACCCTCATAGGCGACATAAAAAGAGTCTCAAGATATCACGACTATGTTGCTGGCGTAACTGAAATGAGGAGATTTGAGCTTGTATCAATGACAGTGGAGTTACAAAGGAATCTGTACTTGTTGTCTCATGGTAGTCTGCCGAGCTCTGCTAAGAATTTCCTAATAGCAATCAGTCTGTATTTGCTGTGTTCATGCCAAAAACAATCTCATTCTGCAACACTTGGCAAATCAAACATCAGTATTCCTGCTCAGTCCTGCAGAGAGACAGACTCTGTTGTGCATGTACTGTATATACAGTGCAGTCCAGAAGTAGCGGGACAGTGGCATATTGATTTCACTCTTTTGGCTCTGTATTGTAGCAGACTAGACCTCAAATGGGGAAAAAAATGGCTGACGTCTATGTGCTAAATTTCAGCTTGAAGGCTGATATCCATCCCAAGTTTTGGAATAGCACAGCAGAATGTTCATCCTGAAAACAGCCAAAATAACCAATGACATTTTAACAGTGTAATGTTCTTGACTGGCCAGTCACCTTAATCCAACTGAGCAGGTGTTTGACTCACTAAAGACCAGTCCCCAAACAAGTAATAAGTGAAGATGGCTGCACTACAGGCCTGGCAGCACCTCACCAGGGAAAATAGCAAGCATCTGCTGAAGTCTGTGGTTGTACATTTCAGGCAGTCATTAGCTGCAACACATTTGCAGCCAATTATTCCATTTTTTTTTTTCTTTTAACTTTTTTTTTTTTTTAAACATATTTTGACATTTAAGTTTTTGATTGTGTACAATTTTTGCACGGTCCATCTGACGTGCATGTAAGCATCTTCAAATTAAGGTAAGAACTTCATTTCAAATCAAATGTGCTTTCGTACAGATTGAAAACAAAACATTTTATATGTCACTGTCCTGTTTAACACCTATCTTATATAATATATATATTTAAGATTAGGAAAAATTCCAAAATCCTGTCAGTACAATGTGGTGGAAAACAGTACAACGCAGAGCACTGCTAGCATCAAATGAGGGACAAGAACAATTAAAGGGTACCATCAAATGAATCTGAGGTTGAAAGGGGCACTCTAAAGGGAAAAATGGATCTAAGAAAAGTAGTAGAAGTAAAAAAAAAAAAAAAAAAAATGTTTTGCTTCAGCTGTGACAAATCAATTATTTTGTCCACTACCCTCAAGTCTGATCCATGAGTGTGTAAGGGCACATGCAGTAATTCTCCTGTGGGCTGGTTTTAATGTCCTGGTGCAGAGTGGAACTGCTGAGGGATCACATAGGAGCTTAATACTAGGAGTGTTCATCCTGACAATGGCACACAGAGAGGCACATAAAACCTCAAACTAGCCACAGCAGCACTGCAATGTGACATTCTTCTTTCGTTGGTGCTCTGTTTCTGCAAAGCGCCTTGACACCATTCCCCATTCTCTTGAAAAATGGGTGCAGAAATCAAATTAGTTCAATCAATCCTAAGTAAGGATGTCATGCTCTTGCAAGCTTTCATGCTGACAGACAAGTAACAGCCTCATCTAGGTAATAATTCCGTGACTGCTAATGCCCACATAAACACAGGGGACTTAAAGTGTCAATATGCAACGACTACTGAGACAGGTTCACACCATCAAGATCATGTATTTGACCTCACAATACGCCACATTTCTGCTTTTCTACGATGACCATATTACAGACAGCTTGTAATGAAGGGGGGACTGTGATAAGTCTAGGTTCAGCACAACGCTTTCGCAGCTTACTGAAGGCTGAGGAAATTAGTTTACGTGTTTTGTTGTTTTTGTGTGACTCTGTTCTTAGGTTGAACCTCTCAGATCGGAGTCTGCCACTGCAACACAGCTGCCTCCTTAGTGAGATGCAAATACTGGACATTTCATCAGCGGATTTACTGCTGTGCATTTTGATGAGTCTCTGAACTCCGGCTGTGCGCATCTTGGGAAATCCTGTGACAAAACGCATAGAGTAAAAGACATAAACTACACCCTTCTTAAGGCAGTGCTGAAAGCCAATGTTTTTTCATGCATTTTAACTTTCCCCCATGCGTTCATGAATATACTCCTGCTCTCGATGGTTAGCTTCAAAAAATTCTAGAAAGAGTTCATTTGGTTTTCCTTGCCACCGTGTGAGTGTTTCTTCCGATATTTTTACCAGATCGCTTTGATGACCTTTCAGTAATAGGCTATGTGCTATTTAAGCTTAGAGATACACGACGTGATGTGTAAACCACTTTCCTGAGAAAAAATACTTTTACTTTTTCCTAGTCATTAATGCACAGTAGGTGGTCTCACTAATATGGCATGGGGTCAGCCCTTCATTTGAAGGCAGCAACACATCTGAGGCTGCAACATGTAGCAACATAATAACAATCAATAACTGAATGGCTGTAAAGACAAAGAGAGCAACTAAAATGTATGTGTGTGAGACATAAAAAGAAATGATGAGAAAAGACAGATGCCGAAGAGAAGCTACACACGTCAAAAGAAACTACCCACCTTGTTTATTTTTGTGTTTGCTGCATCAAAGCAGAAAAGTTTACAGTCCATGAATGTAAATAGTGGTGGCTCCAAAAGTACATAAGTAAATAACCCTTTTCTTTTCGATTTCATTACTGTAATTATACTTCCCAACCCAAAGTGTCAAGGCCTGTCAAATGTCAGACCAGCAAACATGTCTTCTGTGTCGTCTGTCACTGAGCAAATTGAAGCCTGGGTTTAATGTCACGCTGCTGTGAGCACAAACATAGTAATTGAGAGGTGAACTGAGTGACAGGGATGAGCACCCAGGCAAGAAAACACTGAGCAGTAGCCTGATGAAAACCAGGAGCACTGGTCGCATTTCTGTGGCCCTGGCAATAAAGACCATTGTATGAGAAAAAAGGAAAGGCAGGCACCGTACCACGCACACACACACACTCAGAGACATTATCCACAATAGTACACACAACCTATGCAATGAAGCCAGAGTAATTCAGCTCCTCACTTCAAAGAGATGGGCTGAAAGCTTTTTGTTAGATTTCAATCCTGCAGTACATAAGGCCAAAAATGCATTTCAATGGAGAAAATCACAAGTGTGACAGCGCTTTGACCCCACAGATGAGTGCGAAGTGAATTTCAAAGTTTGGTGGGCTTCTGACAGTGGCCTAGGGAATACGTAGGTGGAGCTCTGCTTCACAAAAGCTTAACATCTGAATGTAAAATGGATTTATCTTTACTATAAATGCAGTCAAGAAAACTTTGGTGATTTTCTGTATTTTTTTTGTCTAACTGGCAACAAATCCAATCTAAAGACAAAAACCAACAGTGAACTTAACATAAGAATTGGCTACATGTCCAAAGCCTTACTAAGTTTATGCATTTATGCCACAGAGCTTCATTGTTGTCCACAGACACACCACTGAGCCCCACTGTTCAGGGACATGCTTCTTCCCTGTGAAATATACAGGCACTATAGTTCCTCCACCAAGACAGAGGTTTGTTTTCAGTGCTGTTTGTTTTTTGTTTGTCCATCAGCAAGATTACACAAACATGGTGAATTTCATGAAACTCGGTGGAGAGGTGGAGTTTGACCAAAGGATGAACCCATTAAAGTTTGGAGCAAATCCGCATTACTTTTTTAAACTGAGGTAGGGCATCGCCTTAGTGAAGGACTGAGCACTTCAAGTGCTCTTCTAGTTTATTTAGAAATGGCTTCCCAGACTCGCATCGGCGATCATGTTCATGACCTTTGGAGAGTTATTCCTGTAAGGCAGGGGTCACACAGTCACACCAGTTCTGTTTACACTGCTTCACTTGCTTGTTGAGCTACTTATCACAATCTGTTGACTTTGAACGAAAATTCTCAGAGAAATTCACAATTTATGGGACAGAGTCTGATCGATACAACACGCCTGAATGCATGTCCTACACATGATTTTGTCCGATGTGATGGATTGGTCTGAGCCGCAGTGCTGAGAAGCAGAAATACAACAGTAGGACAGTTAAAGGCTAAGGGCAACAGCTGACACTTACGTTACCCTGTCAACAGATAGCAAGGCTCTGAGCAGATTATAGATTCTGCAGTTAATCTGACATTTTGGAAATTGTACTGCAGTAGCTCCAAGATGGGAGAGACAAGGATGAATTTTCATGTGTTAAACTCACCAGCCTGACTTTTCAATGCACCTGAGGCCCAGAACGTTGGAGACGTTGTTCAGGATGGATAAAATGAACTGACAGCATAATACAGGATCCAAAAGGCGAACGTGGATAACCATGATCTGACCCAACTATCTGTCCCAGGCATGCATAGCAGTCTCTGCCTTACTACTCTCCAAGGATGGTGACAGTTATCAGCGTTATTAGTCTGAGGAGCCATTACAATTTTTAGAATGAAAAGACATGTCACCGAATGCAATGCTGTAGCTCTATGAGGGATAGAGTTTGGACAACAATTGAGCTCTATGACACAGAGGAATACGCTACATCAAGCTTCGGTTATACTTGTTAGTGGGATCAAACCATTGTTGGTTTCAGTCTCTTTATGTGGTTTGTGGCCAATTAATACATATGTCTAAAAATATCACCGAAGGTACTCTTTAAATATATACTGAACATTGTGTTTAACTGTTGTAGCACCGTGTATAGTAAAAAAAAAAAAATAAACTTTTGACTACATTTGTCAGTGTCATTATTTCATTATCATCCTGTTGCATATGTCTCATCTAATCAGCAGTAAAACAAGGATGCATGCTTAGCAAAATATTGTTAGAAAAAAAGTATTCAAACTTAAGTTCGTGTCTTGTCTAAGTCTTCTACACCAACATTACTGTCAGACAATCTGTTTTAAGATACATACAAGATTTCATCATAAAATGTTCAGTATCTATTACTCTGTGGTATTAATGGGTGCAGTAAAACTTTTGTGGAATGCTACAGGTGACCCTATACAAGTGAAACATTGCAAGAAAAACACAAAACTTACCATCATCTTCTCAAAGAGGTCAATAATTTCCTTCTCTGAAAGGTTCATGGATCGGTCATCAAAAAGGGGCTGAGGAACAGGCAGTTCAGTTTGGGTAGAGAGGGGATCTGTTGGGTGCTGTATAAGGGGCTTCTCCTTCTTCATCCCTGTTTTCCTGAAACTGGTAATACGATCCCGCTGAAAGAAAACACAGTGTTTGAGATATTTAAATTTTGCACTGCCAACAACCCTGTTTAGACAAGGATCAAGCATGTGGATCACTAAAAGAAAACCTGTTTATATTAACATATATACAGAGATTGGTTTAAGTTGCTGGGAACTTGAACTTTATGTTATCACACATCCCAGAGTTGTTTTGTGTCTTGCTATCAAAAGACACTGTTCACCCCATATTACAGTACAGATACTCTGAAGTGGAGGACAGCTCAAAATGTCTTGCTGAAACAAAAGAAAGTGAGGCTAAAATAACAAATACAAAAAAGTCTGGAACATGCTGGCAGCAGAGAACACATTTATTTCACTTAGGACACTGTATGAAACTAAACAGGATTGTACTTACCATCAAACCCACAGGATTACCTGGTTTGTGCTCATGTTATTCAAAAGGTTTTCTCAAAACCAACTTAAGCTCGCAGTGTAAGAAACAAGTTTCCTTGTTTTATTCATCACTTGACACTATTGTGATGCATTCTGTAAAGTTTAGTGTGAAAGTAGAAAAAGTACATGAACCGCATGCAACCAGACACTGTTAGTTGAATTTAGTGAAATGAAAGGGAGAGGACATGCTGGATGAATGAGCATATTATGTAAAAATGAAATGGAAAGACAAACATATATGACATACATGATGTCACTACTGTCAGTAACGTGAAATATAACTGGATGGATCAAATATACTGTAGGTAAGGCCAAAACATATTTCTGCAAGCTGCAAAGACATGTTGACTGGTTATACGAAAATGAATGCAACACTATCTGAGCTTTTAAGCGTCAAAGTGAGGGTATTTGTTAACTAAGAGTATTAAAAAAGCCCAAGGCAAAAAACATCTCATCAAAAATGCTCCTGATAATCACACACTAAATGATCTATGAGCTGCTTACAAAAGTCTAAATGCTATGGGCTAAGTTTTGTTCATAATGAAAAATTTAGACCAACAGACCTTGGTGGGGCTAACTAACAGCAACATGAAAAATCTTTTTCTATTTACACTGCATTATAGTTCTACCACAACCAGTAAGTGAGACAGATTGAAGTTCATTCCTTTCTTGTTACAGCGTAGTAACACAAGTTCAAAGTAAAACTAGATGTACTTCATCTTTACACATTCTTATTTATTTACATTTTTCATTTAAATAATTAGTTTTTGTCATATTTGAGCCATCCACATATTTCAGTTAAAAGTCTCATGCAGTCAGGGCAAAACATGAGATGACGCAAAATAAAACTAGTCACACCAAAATTAAACCGAGCACCTTACCATATCATCAGCCAAAGTTTTTATGTGTATGTTCTGTTGGAGGGAGGGCACAGTGTGAAAAACAAGATCCAACAGAAAATGACAATACGGGCAAAAGCACAGTATGTGTCCCATCTGAAGTGTTGTCACATGTACAGCGTCCTCTGGATACTTTCTCGTTTTCCTCTATGAAGCCAAATGAAGTTGCCAATAACACTTGCATACATTAGAGAGGACATAAAGCATGTGTGCTTAATGTCTATGAACCACAGCTAGAATTAGTTCATTCTCATGATCTGTTTTTTTTTTTCCTCCAGTGATGGTACAAGCAAATCCAGGATGTTGTACATGTGTTGGATGTGACCATACTGATAACAATGATCCCAAATAATAGGCTAAATGTAAACATGTATATGTGTTCAAGATTGAGGATCCCCAAGACACATACATTAAACACACATAGCAAATAAACACATAAAATGAGACTTATCATAAAGCACCTATAATCCCACAGCCACACCAGTTCACAGCATCCACTGAAAACATGCAAGTTAGTGCCGCTGTTTGGTTTTGTGTATTTCAAAAATACAGCACGTTCTCAAGACATTGTGTTACAGACTGGCACAGTTAAAAAATAAAGGTTCTACCTTCTCAGGGACAGCATATGGAAATTAGCTGGTAGCTAAATCTGGTACAATACATCTCCTTTCCTATGAGATTAATGTTTGTGTGCCTGGTCCCTGACAAATAAATTATTAAACTAAACTAAATAAACTAAGGTTGTTTTTATTGCTATAACATGTGTTCTAAAGAGCATCTTTTGTAGTGACAGTGGCCCCAAAGATTAAAACCACAACTTCTCCTAATACAGATGTTTATCTTCGTCTCAGACACAATAAGATTGGCTACAGCCAAAGGCTTGTGGCTCGGCAAGGGACAGCCATTTGAAACACACCTCAAATGGGAAGCAGTAGCAACACTGCCATATGCTGTGGCGCTAGGCTGTAAAGTACTAATGAGTAGGGAGATGTGGGGTAGTGATGGCCATAAAGCCTGCCTCCAGCCGCGGATTTTTCCACTATTCTAATCAGGAAACTACTGATGCTGGGGCGAGCAAACAGATTGGCTCTAACCTGCACCTCCCTCTGTGTATCTTCATCAGCTGTCGCTCTGGGCAACACTGAGCAGACACTCAAACTGCCATATCCATCACTAGTTTAGTCGGCAACAACTGATCAACAGTTGGAAAAAAAGCTATGAACCACAGAAAACAAAGCTTCACTCTCTATGTGCAGGCTTCATGTGTTGCCGAAGTTGTTATTTCAAGTCAAGATAACAAATATGTCATATGCATCATGCATTATGCATAGAGGGTTCTGCGTGGGATGTCCAGGTATTTGTTTTACCGTCATTCACTGCCTTTAATATAGGTGCTGCACTCCACACAATATCTGTGATAGTAAGAGTCTGACCTGAGCAACAACTTTTCCCATTTCTAACTCGGAGCAATGTGTCATTAAGCCCAGCATTCTCTAACAGCCTAAAACTGCGTGAAACAATAGCTAATTTTCAAATGGAGTACTTAAACATTTTCTAATCAATTTAACAACAATCAAACCACTGTTTGGTTAATTGCCTTGACTTGAGGGCCTTTCCTTGCCCATTATCTTGGCAACATCGCAACATTGCAATTTAACATCTAACAATTAAGCTTGCATGTCCTCTGGGCTTCTCTCGCTTATTAAAGTAAACTTTTTCATCATAATAAATGTTTATTACCAAACACATATTTCTCTAAATAACCTAATCAAATTAGCTCTGGGTCCCTCCTTAATCAAATATGATTATGACTCCATGCAGATCTTTAAAAATGAAAACACAAAGCAATATCCAACAACTTGAGAGCCAATTTGGGGACACAAAACCATACCAGTATGCATATTTCACACAATAACTTCTGAAATTAATATTACAAACTACAATTAATGTTAGTATTACATTAACTCATAAAGAGGCATATCCTTCCATTGCTCTTAGTTGTATAACAAAATGTCACCAAGTGGCACATGAAATAAATTTTCATCCAAGACAGACAAAAGACCAATTTTGTTTCAAACTGACTATAGTCGCACAGCTTTTAAATAGCAACACTTGTTATACTCAACTAATTTAACTAGACCATCTGTATGATGTCATTTTAACTCACTCACTGGAACTATCACTATAAAGTCAGTGACTACGATGCCTCTCTAAAACGAGTTTAGAAGGAAATTAGGTTTTACTTTAATTAGTTCTAATAACAACAAAGGATGACTGGGACCTAGCCACTGTTGACAGTGAAAAGTGTAATGCAGTGTGCTGCTGACAGTTTGTGGCAACTTCATGAAACTACCTTGTGTCCCTGTTTAATCGTCTGTACTGTTTAGCCACAGGCTACTAGGTGCTAGCAACACTCACACTTGTTTTTCTCTGTGGCAAAAAAAATCCACGTTTCCTCAGGGGAGGAAAAATGCAATGCTGATAGCAGAGCAGGAAGAAATTAGGGAAACCTGCAAATTTTATAATTAGCCTCATATGCTGGCAAGTAAACTTAAGTAGCTCAGCAGTCCAGTCTACCAGAAAATCTGAATTCTCATTTGATGTTCATTCATTTAATAAACGGTTTGGTGCTTGTTCTGAGAGTACCAATTATCAATGTCCCTACCTAGCATTTAAAAATTCCACACATTTCAGTGGAGTAAAACACATCTTGTAGTGGCAGACATTGACAATGCAAGGCAAAAGGACAGCACTGAGAAGATCTTACAGACAGTTCAAAACAAGACAATACACTACTAACTCATTAGAAGCAGACACTGGAGAGCTGTTAGACACAGAAGCAGTATAAAACTTGCCATCTGCACTGCACAACAGCAAGATAAGGAATAAAGAGCAACTAGCAAAATAAATGGCCAAGATTTCTTTACCAGATATAGTGGCAAACGTAGTTTGCCAGTGTAACACTGCTGATACTTAAAAGAACAATGTACTGTGCTTTTACGTACATATCTAGATTTATGTCCAAGTGAGAAATTAAATGAGTGTTGATGCATGCGTTGCAAAATGAACGTGAACCTGCTTACACAGGAACTTTGTAGCCTCAGTCAGCGATGACCTAAATTTAGGACAATCATTGAGAAACTTGTACATCAGCATTGTACAGTGGTCTGGACAATTCAGGTTATACATGGGCACAGATTCATGTCTGTGCTCATTATCAAATCACAGATCAGAAATACAGGGAAAAAAGATGTCCTGTTCTGAATGTCAGTATAAGCATATTTGATATATATATATATCTAGAGTGTTGCTCCTCAGCATTTCAATAGAGTGCACCAGAGCTCCTGCTAGAAAATGGTGTGCAGCCGGGCCCAGAGCCCTGCAAATGAATAGAACAGATTACAGATGTGACAACAGCGTTTATCTAAAAACACTGTATGGATTATATTCAGGGTAAAATCCCCAAAATGTCTTCAACTGAAGAAAAACAGCCCCACCAAACTCCTAATGTGAAATTACATGAGTCATGTTTGCTAATTATTGCCATAAATGTTTTTCTTTTTGTAATCTGATAGGATGTACAACATAGCCAATACCAGGATCAATTTTAAGGGAGTGGCATCAGACAGCACCAAATACCCTCCATGTAACTGAATTAGACACGGTCTAAGCAAATTAATTTGTCTAAATAAATCTTGTTACGAAGTCCTCTCAATGGCTGCCTCTGTAAACTCAGAGGTAGTGCACAATACAGCCTCCACTGCTGACATCCGTGAGCACGATTTATTCTTCTCAATATAATGTATTACATCTATCTATACGTTTGCGCTGTGAGCACATCATTTTGACGACAAGCAAAGAAGTGGAAAAAAGAGGCCAAAGACACAAAAGACCCGACTAACACCTGGAATTTCATGCACTTTAAACTGACATTGAGAATATATTCACTGCAAGCAGCCACACAGACACACAAGCTCCCTTTCGGTGTGTTTTTCCTCACAGTATGCCTATAATTATTTCTGAATCTTTAAATGACAGTAAACATCTGCTCTACAGTGTTGCGTCTCTTTTTTCTTTTTTTTTTTTTAACCAACTACGGAGGATTTTTTTCTAACTCCAAGCTCTGACACCTGCAGCACGAAGGAGTAAAAATGCATAACAGGTCTATTAACACCAGTAAGTTTTCCTGATTTGACATTCTGGCAAAACTCTGCTCAGGTGACAACTGGTGTACATTACAAAAATAATGACTTGACTGTTTGTGTTAAATTTAATCAACAGCTTGCTGAACAAATCACAACAACAATATTTATCCCACCTTTATACAGGCAAATCTGCCAGAAAATTAACCTGAAACAAATGCAATATTTGATTGAGTCATCTTGTTAGTAAATAAAAAGCAATTAAAAAATGATACTATGGTCCTGTTTTATGACAATACTAACTAATTGATGAATAAAAAGGCACATTGCCACAAAGAAGCTATCACAGACGTTTAAGCAACATAAAATTGTTCCAAATTATAATTGACAATGTCAGATTCAGTGGGGGTTTTTTTTGTTTTTTTAACTGTCATTTTAGAAACAGGGAGCATCACATATGACATGGTCTACTTTTACCTGAAGTGACAAGCGAAACATTTATAGCAAAAAAAACATCTATATGTGAGTTCGTCAAACAGAGAGTAAAAAGACTCTGGGTGATTATAGATGGAACTTATATAGTGTTGTTACTGTAGGCAGTGCCGGGAGCATGCACGGGGGGCCAGACAACAAGCAACAGACGACACCGCCTCTTATCCCCGCACAGAAAAACCTGTCACATTAAGCATAACGGCATCCTCGTCATCTCAGCAAGCTGATTTACAAACCATTTAATCAAGCATAGACTGTGAAGTTGCTTTCCTAAAAAAGAAAAAAAAAATCAGGTCATAAGCAGGGGTCGCTCAGTTATTGTACACAATGTTGGCCGGAGATACTTGTTTCAATCAAATGAATTCCAAAAACATCTCAGAG